TTTTTTTTTTTTTTTTGGTGCTTTAACAAAATACCTGAGGCTAGGTACTTTAGAAGGAAAAGAGGTTTTAACCACTCAAAGTTTGAGAGGTGGAAAGCCCAAGTTCAGGTGACCCCATCTGCTCAGCCTCTGTTGACAGCCTGCTTGGCTGTACCATAACATGCCATAGAATAAAAAAGGGAAATAGCTATGTGAAGGAGAGGTCAAGTATGTGAAGTGGCTTCAATTTATTGCAACTTGCTCTCTCTGGGACTAATAATTCACTCTGTGAGAGCAACATGAATCCCCAAGAGGGTGGTGCCTCCAGGTCCTAATAACCTCTTATCAGTCCCTCCACCCTAGCACAGTTACACTGGGGACTAGGCTTCTAGCACAGGAGCCTTTGGGGACCCTGAAACCTTGGCAGTGGTGAACCTTGGCTGGGCATTGGCCCCCTCTCCAGGTGCTCGTGAGGACAGGGCTGCAGCTGCATGGGTGCACCAAGCTGCACAGTCTCCATAGGAAGGCCACTTTAGGAGAGGCTGGCAGGTGAGGACTCACGGTTCTCCTCCTGGGCACCGCAGGTGGCGTCAGAGACCCGGCGATGCACACTCGGGAGCTCTTGCACCTGGTCGATGCAGGATTCGCCATCAACACCCCCTACCCGCTCGTTCTGCCCCCAATTCGGCAAGTTGATCTCATCCTGTCTTTCGACTTCAGCGCGGGGGATCCTTTCCAGGTAAGCGAGGAGCCCTGGGTGGTCCTGGGTGGAGGCCAAGCTCTGAGCTCCGCAGCTAGGAACCTGGATGCAGCTGGGAAGTGGGGGTGGGATGGGGTGCTGCAGGCAAATCCACTGGCCCTTGGATCCTGACGCATTCAGGGTCTGGAGACGCCCAGCCGGCCTCTGAGCTTCTAGATCCAGCCCAGACCTTGCTGGACCCTTCTTTGGGCAGGCGATTCTAGCACCTTCCGGGTCCTGCCGGACCTGTGCTAGTTTGATTGGGGACCTTTGAGCTTCCCACGCTGAGCCTGCTTCCCCCGTGCACACGTATTTCTTCCCGTTCATCTTGGCTTCTCGGGGTCTGCAGCCCTTGCTGAGTGGGAGAAAATCCACGGACTGGACTCAGCAACCAGCTCCTGTCTCTCCTTTCTCTGGCGCGCTGCTCGGTTATCCTGGCTGCCTGCCTGCTTGGCCGCTGGCAGTGGCTGTTGCACCTCCGTGTGCCTCAGTTCCCTCAAGCGCAAAATGGATTCCTCCTCTCAGGACTGTTACACAGATTAAATTAATACCTGGAGTGTTCAGCACAGTGCCTGGCACACAGCGGGGGTTTCGAAACACTGTCTTTAAAATTACACAAACCCTCAGCTTCCCAGGGAGCATGTTTTGGGAAATGCAGTGGGACAGTTTCAGCTTCCTGCCAGTGTCAAGAGGGTCCTTGTGCAGTTGAGACGGGTAGTCTTGTTCAGACCCACCACGTAGCTGCTCCACATGAGCAAGAGATGCAGGGACATGAGATTTTGGAGTCTGCTGCTGCACACCCGGGTAGACACCTGAAGTAACCTTTGTATAGGTCCCAACTAATGTTACAAGGCAGAGTAAGTACAGAAACTAGCAAGGAGACATTCACCTTCATAGTAGTGCCTTTTTATTTTTGGAGAATTGAGAACTTAACCCAGGGGCACTTTATCACTGAGTCATATCCCCAGCCCTTTTTATTTGGAGATAGGGTCTCATTAAGTTGCTCAGGGCCTTACTAAACTGCTGAGGCTGCCTTCAAATTTGCAATCCTCCTGCCTCGGCCTTCTGTGTAGCTGGGGTTACAGGCATGCGCCACCATGCCTAGCTGTGCTGTTCTTGATACAATTGAAAACACAGTAGGTCTGTTTACCCCAGCATCACCACCAACTCGAGTGCTGCCTTGTGCTACAGCATCATGGCAGCTGTGACAGCAGAGGTGATGGGGACTTTCCAGCTCCATCATCTTCTCAGGAGGCCACTATCAGATGTGTGATCTGTTGTCAACCAAGCATCACTATATGGTGAGGAACTGCACCTGTCAACACTTGTCGGTACTGGTGAGGTTCTTATTGTGGTACCTGCCACTTAATATGGGGCTTGCGAATATTTTCTTTAAAAATACAAACACAAGCTGCACACAGCAGTGCACACCTGTAATCCCAGAGGCTTGGGAAGCTGAGGCAGGGGGATCTTGAATTCAAAGCCAGCCTCAGCAAAATTGAGGTACTAAGCAACTCAGTGAGACCCTGTTTCTAAATAAAATACAAAATAGGGCTGGGGATGTGGCTCAGTGGTTGAGTATCCTCGAGTTCAATCCCCAGTACCCCACCAGATATATACACTTGTGTAATATGCAGTCATACCTCTGCTGTAGTACACTCCAATGTAGCATGCTGCACGCGATGGTGGCCACTCAGTGTGGTATGATATGACGGTGCACACCCATAAAGACACCAGTGGGCATCTCTACAGTGTGGACAGACACCTCTGCCCTCACGGTTGCCAGGGCCTGCCACTCTATCCCTGTCTTCTGCCTTTGCACCCTGGGCTAGTCAGGCTTCCAGGTTCCAGGATTTCTTCTGAAATAAAGATCTCTAGACATTGTGGCAAAGGTGGAAAGACCAGGGTCCTGGGAGTCAGTCTCTCAAATCTTCATTGTGTAACCCTGAGCAGTGGGCTCACCCTCCAGGCCTTGGCTTTCTCATCTGCAAAATGGGGATGGCACGAACCATTTTAGTGAAGTCTGCAAAGGCTCCTCACAGTGCCGGGTGCTTAGCTGATCTTCAGCAGAAAGGTTGCTGCTCCCAGGGGGTGTGGAAAGGAGCAGGAGTGCTGATACCAAAACAGCAGCCTGTTAAGGTGGAACTTCAGAGAACATGGCACAAAGCTGCTTGTCACCTTGGTGCCACCAGCAGCCTGTGACAATGAGCACTTCAGATGTGCGCCCTCTGAAGAGAGATGTGATGCGTGTGAGGCTCCCCCCAGATTTTAATGAGAGGATGAAGACAACAAATATAAAAGACCTTGTCCACCATTTTATATTGATTATCCATGCTTTTGGCATATTGGATCTACTAAAATTTATATTAAAGATAGATTGGCTTGCTTCTTTTTCCTTACTGTTACAGTTTGGACCTTGACTGTCCCCAAGAGCCCTGTGAAGCTCGTCTCCAGAGTGGCACACTGGAGGTGGTAGAACCCTTAGGTGGTGGCTCAGTGGTCATTGGTAGTGTGTCCTCACAGGGGATGTGGGATGCTGGCCCTTCCCCTCTCTCTTGTTGCTCTGTGGCTCAAGATGCAAGTGGTTCTGCTCCCTCCTGCTTCCTACCATGAAGCACTGCCTTGCCACAGGCTCAGAGCCACAGGCCAGTGGATCAGGGGCTGGAACCTCTAAATCCATGGTGCAGAGTAAGACTTTTGTCTTCATAAAATGGTTATTTTGTGTATTTGGTGATACTAACAGAAAGCTGACCGCCACACTTACTTCCAATGCAGCAACTAGACAGTGTCAAAGCACCCTGTAGCTGACCTGCCATCACTAGCAGCAGCACTGGCCTAGGGTGTCTAAGTCACTGTCCATGCCCACTATGAGGTGATAGCGTGATGTCTCTTGTGGGGTTGATGAGATGGGCATGGATCGTGTCATTTGTGGCAGAGCTGAGGTCCAAACCGTCATTTGGTCTCTCTTTTTCTCACCCCCTGAGTCACTGTGACCAGCCCCTAGGGTCACTCCCAAACTTGTGAACAGCAGGAACACCATCCCCGGGTGGGCTGCCAAGAGGGGGTGCTTTCTCCTTGTTAGAAGGCATCGCCCCCTCCAAGCCAGCGCCTGCTTGGCCGGGAGTCTGCGCTCCTGGCTGGGGTTCTGTTGGGTCTCTGGGTCCCAGGGGGTTTCTGAGCATTCTGAGACAGGAGCCTCTCGCCCTTTGTCAGACCATCAGGGACACTGCCAAGTACTGCCAGCACCACGGCATCCCCTTCCCCCCAGTGGAGGAAGCTGTGCTCCAGGAGTGGTCTAGAGCGCCTAGGAGCTGCCACATCCTGAGAGGGGCGGCTGGGCCCGTGGTGATGCACTTCCCCCTCTTCAACACCGACAACTGCGGAGGTGAGCACTGGGGGGCGGGGTAGGGAGGCACGAGGCTGGCAGCGCTGGGCAGGGCCGGGCCCATCAAAGAGCACCAGGCTTGCCCTTCAGTGACTGAGGGACAATGAGTGTGAGCAGGAGGACTGCGTCCTGTCCACCCTGGGGCCTCCTGGAGGGCACCCCCTTGCTGTCTCAGCCTTGGGTGGTTTGCATGCTGCCTCCTCACTTGGGAGCCTTTCTGACCTGCTGCCTGTGCACCCTCTGCCTCCTGGGCACCCCACACATCATCCAGGCTCTGGTGAGCAGGGGGGCACGCAGTGTGGGAGTCCTGCAGGACCGGGGTTCCACTTCCCACGCCGGGCTCTAGTGGCCTCTGGGCCTCTCCGCTCTGCCCTCAAGTGAGAGGCTCACTCGCAGGTAAGGGGCATCCTGCCTTCTTCACTTAACAAATATTGGCTTGTCACCCAGGCGATGTCAGCTGCTCTTCCAGGTGACGTGGATGAACAGAAAAGAATACAAATTTGTCCTCATGTGGAGCTTCTGCAGGCAGGGGACCCAGATACTAAAATATAGAGAAGTTTCATAACATCAAGTGCCAACCTGTCTTTGTTTGTAAAGTCAAGTAGGGAGCCGGCTGGATTTGGCCACCAGGGACATTAGCCAAGACCTGGAGTCAGGGGACACAATTCCAGAGTTCATTGTCCCTACCTGGGTGCTTTCCTTCAGATGACATCCAGTCATGGACAGACAGGTACAGCACGTTCCAGTGGTCCGACAGCTACAGCAGGGACATGGTGACGCAGCTCCTGGAGGTGTCCAAGAAGAACGTTGACATGAACAAGACGAAGATCCTCAGAGAGGTGAAGAACGTGGCCAGGTAGGGGTCAGGCCACCCCGCCCTGCCCTTGGCTTTCGCTCGGTGAGCACCTGCTGGAGACTTTCTCTGTGTCTGGCGTGAGGACTGCAGAGGTTAAGAGAGGCCCGTGTCCCTCGGGACTTGCCTCTGTGATGGAGAGAGACCGTGAGCACTGTCAGGGAGAGAATGGGCTAGGGGGAGGGATGAAGAGTGGCTGGCTTCCTGGGGAGCTTAAACATAGGAATTTACTGTCTGTCTGTCCAGAGGCCAGAAATCCCAGCCCAGCGGTAGGCGGGCCTGGCTCCTCCTGGGGGCATGGGGAGGTTGTCCAGGTCTCCCTGCTGAGCCGGGAAGGGATGGCTGTCTTCCCCCTGTGTCCTTGGACATGCTCTTCCTTCTCTGGGTCTTCTGGGACAATTTCCCTTTATCATAAGGAAACTAGTTGTGTGGGTTACAGCTCACTCGCAAGGTCACTCCACTCTGACGCTCTAAACACAAATCTCAGAGAAGGGCACAGTGTGATGTGCTGGGGTCGGACCTCAGCACTGGAACTTGGGGGGACACAATTTGACAGACAACTCGGGGTTCACTGAGAGAACCAGGTCGAGCTACTTGAAGGGTCATATCAGAGAAAGTTTCTGAATGAAGTGAAGGATCAGCTTCCACACTTTCTTCTTGGGGAGGGGGAGGTGGAGATCCCTGGAGCAAGGGTGCTGCATATGTAGAGTTGAGGTGGAGGGAGGCAGGAGGAGAGTCTGAGAGAGAGAAGTGGAGGAGATGAGGCATCAGTATCAGTGTCCTCTTGCTGCTGTAACAAGTGACCACCAGCTTAGTAACTTTAAAACCTCAGCTTTGTCATCTCACAGTTCTGGAAGTCAGAAATCTGAAGTGAGTCTTGTGGGCTAAATCCAAAGTGTTGGCCAGGCTGATTCCTTCTGAGGGGTCTGGGAGAGGTTCCCTCATTGCCTTTTCAGTTTCAGGGACATTCAGTGTCTGCATTCCTTGGCTTGTGGCCTCTGCCTTGACCTTTTGCTTCCAGCTTCTCCTCTTGTCCCTCACTTTGACTGCTTGCCTCCTTTTTAAGAAGGACCTGGTGGTGGCATTAGGCTCACCCTGATAATCCAGGACCAGGACCACTCCCCACCTGAGGAGTCTTAACTTGACCACACCTGAAAAGGTCCTTTGCCATGAAGGTGACATATTCACACTCCAGAGATTAAGACGTGGACATCTGTGGGAGTCTCTATGCAGCCACAGAGAAGTAGGCAGGGCCCAGAGGAGGAAACCCAGGGAGGAGTTGGAATTTTCTTCTCAAGGTACCAGGAAGCCCCAGTTGTGAGCAAGGAGTCTTCAGAGGACCATCTGGCTCCTGTGTGGCCTGAGGCTGGATGAGCAGAGTTCACACAGAGCCCAGGAGACTGTCTTTCCGTCCCTCTGTAGGGAGGCAAGGTGGGAAGCTGCAGGTCCTCAGGTTCCTCTCTGGCCTCACTTCTCCCGTCTGGAGAAGGTAGGGAAGTGGCTCTGCCCCTCTCCAGGGTCAGTAGGTAAAGCCTGAGGAACACACAGAAGTATCATTTAACGGCCGGTGTCCTTAATCATTCTCAGTTAATTCTCAAGCGTTTTCCTCAAAATTCCATGATGGTGACTCGTTTGAGTCATTCAGAGATGTTCAGAGCATTAGAAAGGCTGAGATCTTTACCTGGTTCAAAAAAGCTGATCTCAGTCAATTGAAGAGACAAGGGAGCTGACTGGAAAGTGGGTGCATCTCACAGAATCAGGAGCCCCAGGCCCCAGGGCAATGCAAGCCTGCTCTGGGGACCTGGGAATGCAGATGGCAGAGCATATCCAGCAGTGTCCCTGCCCCTCACTGGCACCTCCTGTCTTCTGCAGCTGTGGCCTCTCTGTGGTGGGTGCCTACTGGAAGGCAGTGGCCCAGCCCTCCCAGGCCTCCACCTCTCCATCTCTCCTGCAAGTCGGAGTCCCTACTCCAGCTGGCTGGAAAGGCTCTGGTTGTCCCACTGGGGATCACCAGACACCCAGCCCCATCCACAAGGTGCAGGGCTCCCCAGACACTGGTTCTCAGGTGGCCCAGGCCCCCCCACCCCCACCCCGTCAGCACAGCTGACGTGTGGGCTGGATGATGCCCTACTGTGGGGCCGCAGGGCACTGGAAGATGATTTTCAGTCCCTGGCCTCTGCCCTTCAGAAGTCAGGAGCACCTCCCAGACATGACAAACTGTTTCTAGAACTTCCCATGTCACCACAGAGCAAAAGTCACCCCTGTCCAGATGACACTTAAACAGTGCTCTTTGTTGTAGGACTTATCAGGGGATTGAGTGACCTAATGTGCTTTCTGCAGCTCTAAGAAGGGTCGGGTATGCTCTTTGGATGGCATTTAGGACATGTCAAATCACAGCTACTTCAGGAGTTGTGCTGTGCAGAAGGTTCCTTCAGGACAGTGTCCCTACAGCTGTGGGTGCTGACTCCATGAGAGCCTGGCTCTTCCTGATCAGAGGCTTAGACACTGGACAGGGGCATGCAGAAAAGTCCAGGAGAATTGGGCATAAGTAAGCAAGTGGACGCCCTCAGGGGGGTTAGTGGGGACTCTTCCTGGATGGAATGACTTCAGCTGCGTTGCTGATGACTCTGGTCCTTGCGGAGCTTGGGAACCCACTTTCTGGTCTTTAAGACGTGGCAGTGCTACTGCGTGTGCCCTGGTGGCTGTGAGTGTGGGGTGGAGGCAGATGAGCCCCCGTGATGGGAGCTGGTGAGGTGTCCATGTCCTGCTGGTGGACTCTGTGCTGGCTCTGTGGACACGGGGCCTCCTGGATAGAGAGGTCCAGGAAACTGAGTCAGAGCCCTGGACTGAGGAGGCTGTGTGTGGCTAGAGGACCTGAGGGCAGCCAGTTCCTGAGATCTCCCTGATGGTCTGACAGTTCAGCCAGACTTGGGACGACCCTGACGTGGCCCCTGATGAATGCCTTGAGTCCCTTGAGTCCCCTCTGCCAGCACTGAGTGTCACCACCTCTGGGTTCCTTTGCTCAGTTGGGGATAGCAATGGAGGCAGGTGACACCATTTGGGTGAAGCCTCTCTGGGGCTCAAGCTGCAGCACTCAGGAGGCGGCACCGTGACAGGGCCCTGCTCTGCTCCCTGGACCCTAGGGGTACAGTGGGCGCACAGGACAAGACAGGCTGTGCAGGTGCAGGGCCAGAGCTGCCACGGTGCAGACTGTGCCCTGTCTTGTCTGTTCTCTGCCCTCGGCACCGGGGTCGGCCCTTAGCACAGAGACCTGCTGCAGCCCCAGGGACCGTGCGGAGCTCTGCTCAGGGGAGGTGGAGGAGCTCACCATCGCCAGCCCAGGAGGCCTCTACCAAGAAGTCAAGTTCAAGTTCAGGTACGTTGTGTGGGCTGGAGGTGGGGTTGCGCAGAGCTGGGGAGACTCAGCAGCTCCTGAATCTGTCACTGGGGGAAATGTGTTTGAAGGCAGCGGCTCTGGGTGGGAACCTCAGGGGGCATCGGGGGCCTCCCTGCTGTGTCTCACTAGTAGCTGCCCAGGCTCTAGAGGTCCCTGTGGGGGAAAGTCTCAGCTTCTTGCTTGGATCTCAGCGAGGACCAAAAGCTCCCAGCTGGGGATGAAGAGGAGTGTTCTCTGGAGGACACAGTGGTGGACGTGCGGGGCTCCCGTACTGTGGGCATCAAGATCACCAACAGGACAGATGTGACGTTCAAGGATCCCATGTAAGTCCCTTCCTGTCTCCTCCCTGAAGGTCATTCAAGTGTCTGCAGGGCTGATGTCCCCTGAAGACTCTGCTGGCTTGCAGGTGGCCGTCTTCTGTGTCCTCACAGGGTGGTCCCCCTCTGTGTGCCTGCTGATCTCTTCCTCTGAGGACACAGGGCACCCCCACCCTACAGACCTCACTTTGATGAGTCACGTCTTAAAGCTTCTGTGTAGATAAGGTCCCGTTGAGAGGCACCGGGGTTGGACTTCAGCATGCGAATCTGGGGGTTGCGGGGGCGGGGCACAATTCAGTTCACGACAGGACCCACCCAATGGCTCTAGTGTGTGGGTACAGACCAATCAATCACAGACTCCACGAAGAGCAGAGGACAGTAGCTGGACTCAGCCGCCCCGTGGCCCTCCCCTCCTTCGGGCAGGTTGTTTACAGGCCATAGCTCCCATCCCTCCTGGCTGTCCATCTTTCATCTCAGGTCGTCTCTGTCCTGCCAGGAGCTGGTCTCTCCCCAACCTGAGAGGTCTCCCTGTCACCCGCTCTGCTGTCCCCGGCCTTCCCACCACCCCAGAGTTCTCTCATGTCCTGCTCAGGGCTTGTTCTTGCTTGTGGATCCTCTGTCCTTGTAACTGGGTCTATAGCCCTGGGGGTCAGGCCCCACAGCCCTGCTTATCATGGTGTCCATTCACTTATTCCATAAATATTTATTGGGTGCCTACTGTATACCTGTATGGCAGCAAGCATTTCAGGGGTGGACACCTGACCCACACATGGGAGCCAAGGATCTGCAGGGTGGGTGTGGAGAGAGGTCCAAGCTGTGAACACACAGGGCTCAGTGTGTGCTGGGAGTGACACGAGGGTCCTGGGAAAGAGGGTGGTGCTCTGGGAAGACCCCAGAGGGAGAGCCTGTGGCCTGGGCCTGGATGCTGAGCAGGTAGCCATGGCCCTGGCAGGAGTGACTTAGTCTATTTAAGGCACAGGATGAAGGCTGGGTCAGGGAGGGTGTGGGAGAAGCCCTGAGTGACAAGGGATTGGAGAGATGGACAGAGCTCCATCCTGTGCCCTCTGGCGGGTGCCCTTGGGTTTGACGCAGGGGAAGACTTAGCTGTAGGCCTAGTTCTGCACACGTGTGCCTAGCGGTCATAATGTTGGACAAATCAATGTAGCCCACAGGAGCTCCACGGTAGGTGCTGGGGCTGGGGAAATCCAGGTACCTAGTGGACGAGCGTCTCTCCCAAGTCCTGAGTGCCTCTCGTGCAGTGCACTACACTGCCTGCAGACACACGGGGCCCCGACTCCTCCTCTCCCAGGCTCTGCTGTCGGAGTGGCCAGGCCCACGTGAGACCACCACCTGTGCTTCCCCCAAAGTCCACCGTCCACTGTTCCTTCACAAAGACGAGCTCCAGCTTCCAGGGCACAGCGGGCCTGCTGGCCTACCAGGGCCCAGACGAGCACCTGGCCCTGCTGTTCTCCGTCCCCTTCAGCTATGCCCTCCATCGCATCCAGTTTGCCCTGGCCGTGCTCAGGGGGCCGCTGGCCCAGGACGACCTGGAGCAGGTCTTTGACGGCATCATGGAGAAGGAGGCCCCGGATCCCAAGGTGGTGAAGTGCATCCTGCAGACCCCTCAGGGGGCCCTGGAGCTGAAGCATGGCTCCCTGAGCGTCAGAGCCACCGTGTCCAATGTTCATGTGGCCAAAATGGATGTGGTGATGGAGACCAAGGCCACCTAACTCTCCCTTGTCATTTCACCTGGCTGCTGCAGCCCCCGTGGGCGGGTGACCCCAGGGAAGGAGGAATGGGCCCTGTCATGGGCTAGATCCTCGGGGCCAAATCAGCTCTGAGGACACAGGTGTCTAATAAAGCTTGCTGAGTGACGCTGTGTGACCATGTGGCTCCTGGTCTGCTGTCACAGCACAGCCTCCCTGTCCATCTGGGCTCCCTTCATCCCTGCCCTGGGCCCTGTCCCACTTACCCACCAGCGCCTCCCTTCCCCCCCTCTTCTTCAGGTGGACTCTGTCCCCAGCTGTCCCCTCTGCTCCTCTGGCCTCGTCCCTGCTCCCTCCCCTCCTGCCCTCCCCTCCTCATCTCTCCCTCAGTGACTAAGCCCAGGCCCAGGTGGGCCCTTCATGCCTGTGCCCCTTATCACACCTGGCACCTGAATCCTGGAGAGGGTGACAGGAGTCTCAAGACCCCAGGCAGCATCGGGCGTGGACCCAATGTTGAGGGACATTACCATTGTTTGTCACACCTGCCTTTCCTAAAGAAGGGCTCAGGAGTTGAACTGTGTCCTGCCAGAAGGTCCTGATGTCACAACCTCCAGTACTTGGACTGTGGCCTTTTGTGGAAATTAGGCCTTTACAGATGTGAGCAAATGGAGGTCAGGTCATAGGGACCCACGTCCTCCAGGATTGGTGTCTGTATAAAAGGGAGATCTGGACACAAGGGAGACCTGCACATGGGTAGGAGACCAGGTGCCCATGAAGGCAGGGAGCAGGGTGACACTCCTATGAGTCACAGATGGACAGGAAGCCACCTGCTGTCCCCATGGAGACCCCTGTAGCAAAGGATCCAGCGGAGGCGTCTATGCTGGGTTTGCTCATGTCTCCTCAGTCTGCTCCCCGCTGGGGGTTCCTCAGTCTTCCCTTGACTCTCCTGACCTTGACCTCTCTGAAGGTCACAGGCAGTTATTTTGTCAGTCACCCCTCCATCTTGGCTTGCCTGACGCCTTCCCATGACGAGATTCAGGAAGATCATGAAAGTGAGGCTGTGTCCTCATGATGGGCATGATTTTGTCACATTATTGATGACATTTCCTTGGGTCATTTGATTAAGATGGCATCTGCCAAATTTTTCCACTCTTCCAGAAAAGGGACTCTTTCCTTTGGAATGAGTTGGGATTTGTGTGTGGGCGCATTGAGCTGGGCAATCAGGCCGTCCACTTCACCCTTCCCTGACCTCCTGTGGACTCTGCTTTCCTGGCTTTTCCTGCATCATTTGCTGCCATCCTCATTGATTTTGATTCTGCAGTTGCCTGGTGTGGCCAAGGAGCTTCCTCCAGCCGCCCTCGGTGTTTTTTTAGCGTGTCCCCGTGATTCCTGATCAAACCCGCTTAATGCTACAAGGGTCTCAGCTCCCCTTGTTCATGTCCTGCCCCAGACACGGCATCAGCCCATCTCCTGGGAGACGTGGTCCCTTTTATGGGGAACAGTGCTGAGAAGTCAAGGTCTGAGGCGCTCATGAAGGTTGGTGTCCCAGCTCCCATGTCCTGGGTAGGGAGCGCTGCAGAACTGCCTACAGGTCACTACAGTCTTGGCTTTCCTCCACTGACCCGGATACCTGAGGGTGACCACCTAAAGGAGGACAGGTTCATTTTGTCTTCTGGTTTCGGAGCTCTCAGTCCACGGTGGCAGACTGCACTGCTTTGGGCCTGAGGTGAGGCAGCCCATGATGGCGGAAGGGCTGGGGACAAGACCAGTCCTGCTGGGCACATCCCCACTGAGTTCCTTCGTCTGACCAGGCCCCATCTTCTAAAATTCCCCCCACTTCCCATAATGCCATCAGCTTATTACTCCAACTGAGGATTAATTCACTGATGCAGATAAAGCCCTTAGGATCCCATCCCATCCCTCATCTCAACCTTGCTGCCTTGGGGACCCAGCCTCCAACTCTTCACCTTTATTATTTACCTAAAGAGTTATAATATAAAATAGACCTCACATCTAAGTAGAAAATTTACCAATGGACACAGCCTCTTGTGTGTGTGTGTGTGTGTGTGTGTGTGTGTGTGTGTGTGTGTGTGGCCAAGCCTCCAAGTTCAATACTAGGCCCCTCCTCCTAAAGTCTCCCCCCCAACACCTTCTAACACTGCCACACTGAGGTCTGAGCTCCCAACACTTGAGTTTTTGGAGAAACACTCAGGTCACATCTGAAGCCTTGAAGCCTCTGTCCCTGCCCACCTTATGTGGACACTTGCCTCCGTGCCCCACTCCCCAGGGGACTCTTCCCCCATAGCAGATGTCCCCTGCCCTCCCTGTGTGGACCCCTCACCACCCCTGGCCCTGAGCCCACCATGACTTCTCACATCCTGGCCCCCTCCCTGCTGCCACTGAATTACTCAGGAAGAGCAGGAGGGACCAGAGGAACAGGGGAGAGCTGAGACTGCCCTCTCCACCACTGCTCCCCCTGTCACCAGGCCGACTTGGTCAGGAGAGCTCTGGGGCCAGACCCTGTCCTCTGCATGTGCCACGGCCCAGAGGCCAGGCATAGAGTGGGCACAGGCGATGCAGGTGGATACAGTGAATGGACAGGCGCCTGCCCTAATCCCTACTTTCAAATGCTCTCCAGTGCCTTCCTGGGCTGTGTCACAGCCTGAGGTGGCCCTGCCCCTGACTCCCTGCAGCCAGATGGGGAGGCAGGCTCAGCCCTGATCCCTCCCAGCCTGGGCGAGGTCCCCAGCCTTCACAGCTCTGAGACTCGGGCTCGCAGGAGAGGCCCAGAGAGGCACAGGACTGAGCAGGAGGCTGGGCTGCCAGGGACAGGCAGCAGGGCCACCCAGAGGGACAAACCTGAGAGCACGCCTGCCCCATGCAGTTCCCCGCCGGCCCCGCCTGCATCTTCCTGAGGAAGGGCATCGCTGAGAAGCAGCGGGTGAGGCAGGGCGACTGGCAGGGCGGGCAGGGAGGTGTGGGGCAGGGGGAGAAGGGGCAGGTGAGCGGCAGGAACCAGGAAGCTCAGAACACAGGAGGGGGCTCTGGGTTCCCGGGGGCCACGGGATGAATGGGGACAGTAAACTCAGGAGGGGGGCGTTGTGAGGAGAATAAACGGGGGCTGGGATGGTGTCCCTTTCTCTGCTCTGGACACAAGAGGCCAGTGATGGTGACAATGGCAGTTTTGGACACTTACCAAGTCCCTGCTGTGTGCCCAGCTCTGTGCAAAGGTCTGCACATTCCTGATGTCATTTAACTCCCAGAACAACTCTGAGGTCCCCGAGACTCTCACTCCCGTGTTACAGGGGAAGAAACGGAGGCACTGAGACACGAGTCCTTTGCCATAAGCCCCCAGGGAGGAAGTGGCAGGGCAGGCTGATCCATTCCTATGCTTGTGACTGTCAGGAAGGGAAGGAAGGACAGGGCGGACAGAGATGAGACTGCCCAGAGGACAGCAAGAGAGACACTGGGGGACGGCCAGGGAGCTAGAGGGTGGAGACCAGGATGGTGGAGCCTCTAGGCTCTCTGCAGGTGTCCAGGCCACGTCCAGCAGCGGGTCGGGCAGTGAAGGGCAGACGCTCACAGAGGTGCAGGCTCTGGTCCTGCTGGCACTCGGTGGCCCTCCTGAATGCCACTGAGCTCTGGTCCCACCCCAAGGGACTCTCCCTCTTGGGAGGCAGGGGAGGCAGGTGGGGACAGCAGTGGGGTGCCCTGGAAAGACTTCTGACCTGGAGTCGGGAGCCCTGGACTCGAGCCCTGGGGCTGGAGTCTAGTGCCACACGACCTCAAGGGTAACTTCCCCTCTCCTGGTCGGGGACCTGCTGCTTCAGAGCTGTGTGACCTTTTACAGCTTCCTCGACCTCCCTGTTCTTGAGCGTCTTCATGGGTAAGATGGGAATGATACCTGGTCTGCCTCCCAGAGTCGTCCTGAGGTTTAAATGCAAGGAGCCGCAGCAGAGCCAGCCTCTGACACCTGGGCTGGGACAGCAAATCACACCCTGTCCATCTGGGGAGGCTGGGACTCCACGTGCCATGGAATGTGTGTCTGGGAAAGAGCAGATCCAGGTTCCAGTACAGGAAAGAGGAGTGAGGGGGATGGGAGGGAGGCAGAGCGGAAGCTGAGGAGTGGGGGCTGGGGAGGGAGGAGGAGAGGTGAGGGGACAGGGGCGTGGAGGACGGGCTTGAGGAGCGCAGGACCCTGACGGCTCTCCACCTTCCCTCCCTGCGTTCCCTCAGGAGAGGCCCCTGGGGCAGGACGAGATCGAAGGTAACAGCTGCCCCCAAATGCCCTCACGCCCCCAGGGACCTGCTCTCAGCTCTGTCTGTGTCACCTCCTCCCATGCACACCTCACAGCCCTTCCTGTCCCCTCCACTGCACACTGAGGCCTCCCCAGGGCAGCTAAGTGCCGGGGAGTCCTTAGCGACATGCAGAGACCCGGGATGAGCGGAGACGGGAGCCTTAAAATGAGGCCAAAGCTGTGGGTCCTTCTCCTGGGGTTCTGAGGGCTCTCCACCGACCCTGAGGATTGGGGGCTCAGTGAGCAGCTCGGAGCCGTCCCCCTGCGGGCGCCTTTCCCACTCACTGCTGTTCCGCGGTGCTGGGTTTTATGGTGTATTCCCCTTGAGTCTCTGTCACGGCCTCAGCAACAGTTTCAAGGAGTGCCACTCTTCCCCCTGGCTGTTTCAAGTTCCTCCAAAGTTCTTCTCTCTTCACTTTCAGAGCTCCGGGAAGCATTCCTTGAGTTTGACAAGGACAGAGATGGGTTTATCTCCCATAAGGATTTGGGGAATCTCATGAGGACAATGGGTTACATGCCCACGGAGATGGAATTGACGGAACTGGGCCAGCAAGTCCGCATGAACTGTGAGACCCGGGGGAGGAAGGCAGGGCTGGGCTGGGCTCTGCTGAGGGAGAGACTGGGGAGCAGGGGGAGGGGGAGTCTGTGGGGATACAGGGGGCTACGAGGATTGGGGTGTAGAAAAGAGCAGTCCAGACTGCTCCAGGGAGGTGGCTTTTGAAGTAGTTGGAGGGGCCTTGGAGAGACAGGTCTGGGTGCAAGTCCCGGTTCTATTATTTGTCAATGAAAGTCACTCTGAAAAGTGAAGTTATCGTGGGTCTCAGGTCCCTGGTCTCTGAGTGAAGGCAGGACACTCCTTACCTCATGGTGCCGTGGGAAGGAGGGGACGAGGGTACTCAGGCAGGCCAAGTTGTAGTCCCCACAACTTCTGATTAAGTGTGGTTTATCACTGTCACCACTAAAGGTCTTTCCGAGGACTGTGAGGTTGGAGCCGTGCTGGATGTCAGCAATGAGCTTGGATTCGGACCTAATGGTGGTGAACTCGGGGGCCCTCAACCACTGAGCACATCCCAGCCCTATTTTGTATTTTATTGAGAGACAGGGTCTCACTGAGTTGCTTAGTGCCTCGCTTTTGCTGAGGCTGGCTCTGAGCTCACCCATCCTCCTGCCTCAGCTTCCCGAGTTGAGAAGGATCGGTTTTTAAATGGAGACCAGAGGTGACTTTGAGACTGAAACTGAAGTAAAATTGCTACTGGTTTGCTTCTGGGCATGTAACTGAGTTAAGGTGGAATTCAAGGTGATAATGGTGTGCTCAGCCCTCTGTGTATCTGCAGATTCAAGCAAGTGCAGATGGAAAACATTTGGGAAATAATTGTGTATGCACTAAACATGTTCAGGCTATTTTTTTTTCTTGTCCTTGTGCCCTGAACAACACAGTATGACACTCAGAGAGCGTTTCCACTGTGTCGGGGCCTCTGAGACATGCCCCGCCCACGTCTCAGAAACCTGGGAGTGAGACAGGAGCCAAAGCTGTGGGTCCTTCTCCTGGGGTTCTGAGGACTCTCCACCAACCCTGAGGATTGGGGGCTCTCAGTGAGCAGCTCGGAGCTTAGAGATGAGGCACAGCATATGAGAGGTTTGCGTAGTAGGTTACATGCAAATACCATGGCGTTTGGGAGATGGGACTTGACCGTCTGCAGATTTTGGTATCCATGGGGGTTCCTGGAACCACCCCCCAGTGGATGCCAAGGCACGACTGTATTCGTATCTGGAAGAGCCTCAGGTGCGCATGTAACTCCCACTCCCTCTTACAGATCCTCAGACGCGGGAACAGGGGTCCTGCCCATGCTCAAGGTCGTGCAGTCAGTCAGTCACGTCCCCATACGTGCCTTGTCCACCAGGTTCAGGTTAGAGGGACACAGGGCTTGAGCTGAGTGAGTGAAAGATAAGGGGGGTTCACCCAGCCACAAGGAAGAATGAGACTCGTGCATCTGCTGGTAAATGGATGAACTGGGGAACACCGCGCTCAGGGACATAAGCCAGACCTGGAAGGCCAGGGGAGAACGTGTTCTCTCACAGGGGAATGTGTGGGGAGGGGATCCCATGAAACAGAGGGGACATCAGTGGGGTAGGGGGCGGAGGGAGGGAAGAGGGACAGGAACAGTGAAGAACCGAGGAATGAAATGACCAGATGATGCGTATGTGCACATCCCACTCTGAACTCCACCTTTGTGTGCACCCATAGAGCACCCACCTAAAAGTCAATAAGCAGAAGGATCCAGGAGAGGAAGGGACCCGGAGGAGGGAGGAGGGCAGGTAGAGAGGAAGCACTGGGGACGGAAAAGGAGCACACTACAGTCCAGGCATGAGCATGTCGAAACTAACCCACGAGTGTGTGTGTCGCCATGCACTAATAAAAGTGCAGAACAGAAACCCGTGGACGGCGGGGACCTGGGAGCCGCTCTCTTTCTGGAACTGACTGGAAGGGAGAAGCGAGGGATTGGAAGGTCAGGGCATGGAGTCCCACTAACCCCTCCCTTTCTGCCTCAGTGGGGGGCCGTGTGGACTTTGATGACTTCGTGGAGCTGATGACCCCCAAGTTGCTTGCAGAAACGGCTGGGATGATTGGTGTCCAGGAGATGCGAGACGCCTTCAAGGAGGTCAGTGAAGGGGTCCATGGTGCTGGGGGTGGTCTAGGCACTGTTCACGTCAGCACCATGGACAGAGCCCACCAGAGGGCCACCCTCTGCCTTCCTTGTTTTGGCCCAGCCCTAGTGGGATGGATAGAGCCAGGGCCTCCCGCTTGCTAGGCCTCCACCATGAGCTGCCCCCAGCCCCTCACTTTTTCTTTAATGTAGCTACTAGAAAACTCAGGATCCCCTGAGAGGCCCCCGATGCACTTCCCCCTGGACAGAACTGCTCCAGGAAAGTCCCATCCCAGGAGAGGACACTGCACACACCAGGAGGCAGGATGCTGTGTCTGAGGAAGGGTGACTAAGGGTGACAGCGAGAGCTGGAAAGAGCATAGATGGATGTGGTGGAGACTCAGAGTTGTGAAGGGCAGGGCCCATCACCTGTCGTGGACTGGACAGGAAGCCACCAGGGGGAGTGACAGGATCTGACTTGTCCCCTGTGTGACTGTGAACACGGAGCCTGATGTGTAGAGGGGAGACCCTGGCAGAAGCAGGATGGCAGCCAGGGACCCCTGTAGGCTGCCTGGGGAGTGCAGGCCAGAGGGGCCGTGGCTGGAGCCAGGTCAGCAGAGCTGAGGACCATCCCTGGCCCCTCTGTGTGCGCTGAGGAGAGGGCATAGTAGGCTTTCTGGGAGGTGGTTAAGGAGCAGGGAGAAGTTCTGGAGGTCACTGATTAATTGGGAAACATGTGTCAAGGGCCTGGCCTGTGAAAATGCTTGTCCTTGTGTGCCTGGACTATTTCACCAGCATGACGTCCTCTGGGTTCATCCACGATACTGCATTTTAGAATTTCCTTCTTAAGGCAGAACCACATTCCACCATAGTCTGCAGCACACAGGAGAGGTGCACAGGAGTCCAGGAACAGAAGGCCTCCAGAAAAACTCATAGGCACAGACTGCAGCAAGCTGGCTGCCAGGACCTGGGCAGAGGGGCAGGCGGGCTGTCCTTTCATGGGTCTCAAAGTTTCAGTTATGGAGATGACTGGGTTCCACTCACCTACAGACTAACAGTCTGTATTTGGCATCAAAAACTTAAAAGAGCAGATCTCATGTTCCACATCCGACAAACTGAAACCTAAGGGGACAGGGAATGTCTTGGAGGCAAGGTGACACATACTGTGCTGATTGGTGTGGTTTCATGAGGGCATGCCTCTGTCCAACTCATCAGAGGGCACGGGTTAAGCCTGCTTAGCTATCTGCACATCAATTATATCCCGATAATGCTGTTTAAACAGAGGGAGAGGTGTGTGCAAACCTGGGAGGAGCCCTTGACTTTGAGGTGCTGATATTCTCCAGTAAGATGTGCCTGAAGCCCTTGGCCTGGCTCTAGTGATCCATGGACACTGTCACCCTGTCACCGTTGCTCTCAAGGTCGGTGCTGCTCATCCAGCCCCCTCTGCTTCTGTTCATCAGTTCGACACCAATGGAGACGGGGAGATCACACTGGCGGAGCTGCAGCAGGCCATGCAGAGGCTTCTGGGAGAGAGGCTCACCCCCCGGGAGATCTCCGAGGTTGTCCACGAGGCCGATGTCAATGGAGATGGCACCGTTGACTTTGAAGGTGATGTACAGGGGTGGGCTCGGCAAGGATCCGTTTCCTGCTCCCCGTGTGGCCTTCCAAGTTGGCCGTACTTACACTCCTCTCCGGGTGTGGGCTTGGAAGTGTTGCTTGGCTTTGGAACTGTTCATTCCATCCCTCTCTGACCATGTCACTCTGAAGTGCCCAATGTCTGTCACTCCTGAGGCTCTGTGAAGCCTCTTGTCCAGAGGCCCTTCCCACCATGCTCAGGATTTGCTGCCACCTCTCCTGTTCCTCCCTGGCTCCCTGAGCACCTTCTGGCATGGGGAGGAGGAGGGGCTAGCTGGTAGCAGATACTCCCGGCTGAGACCATGAACTTCAAATTCAGAGTCATGTTTACATCTGGCCTTATCTGGTCTCTGTGCATTTTCACATGTGTAAAATGAAGATTAAAAACAGCTTTCCCTCAAAGTTTTGGAGAAAACCAAAAGAAATCATGCACAAAATGCTACAGTTTTTTTTTAAAAAAAACAATTATTCTGCTTGTCCATCATTGCTCACCCCATTCTTTCTGCCCAGAGCACCACCTCCTCTGTCCCATGGCTAACTCAGAATTAGGTCCCTGAAAGGTGCCTCCACCTGTCTTGCTGGGCTCAGTGTCCCCCCTCATGCCCCCTCCCGTCACATAGGGTGTAGCCCTCTGTGGTAGCACTGACCCATGACACCTCCGTAGCTCAAGGGAAGTCTCTCCATGTCCTTCTGGGACCGTGCACTAGATCTCTTGTCGTTAGCGCCTCAGCTGGTGGCAGGGAGCACAACCGTGTGTCTTGCCATCTGGTAGGTGAGAAGGATCTGAGCCTCACCGGGCTGGGAGGGGACCGTTTCTGTGGAGGGCACCTGGGCTCTGAGTTGGAACAGAAACAATCCCTGGTCCTCAGAGCTCAGAGTCTGTGTGAGAGTCACGTGTCGCTCCGCCCCACCCTCCAGCAGCGTCCTCCCCACCGACGCTCTGTGCTCTGGAGCAGGTGTAACACCTGCGCTGTGTGCCCGGCTTCAGCTCCTGCTCAGCTGATGCTCCGCCCACGGTCCACACTGTAGTCTCTGTCCCTCTCCGTGGAAGCGCTCATGGCTTCCTTCTGGGCTGTGTTTGCCTCCCTCCAGGAGCTGTGTGTGGGGGGGTGCTTTTTCCCTCCCCAACTCCGCTCTGTGAGTCTCCAAATGGAAACGTGGTAGATGACGTTGAACACCTGCTGGCTCCAAAGAGCCTCGGGCGTGCAGCGGACATCAGTAAAAACTGGCACAGGTGGAGGGCGAGGGTGGGAAGCAGATCTGCAGGCCAACTGCAGGCCAACCCCAGGCCAGAGGACAGGGACCTCAAAGCAGGGCGGGGCTGGCAAGTTCTGGTGTAGAGTCACAGCAAGGTCCGGTACAAAGGGTGTCCTGTCCAGGGTTCACCAGTCACTGTCCAGCTGACTCAGGCTCAGGGGCTACCTTCACGGCCCAGACTCCTGACCTGTGAAGAGGAATCCCCCTGAGACGGTGGAGAGGGTGACATCAGACCCTAACATCGGCCATTCACGGAACACTGTGTCCCACAAGCCCTGTGACATTTAACCATCTTAAAAACACAGGGGAAAGAGTGAACCTACGACTCCCGTCTTACAGATGAAAACACGGAGGGTAGAGGGTTACATAATTTCTCTAAGGTCAACATAGGAAGTACGCAAAACACTACCCTGTTTTTTTTACAATGAGGCACCTCACCTCCCCATTTCCTTGCAGAGTTTGTGAGGATGATATCTCGCTGAAGATGCTCCCCACCTGGTCAACATGGATCCCTTGCTTGCTGAGGACCCAATCCCCATGACACCTTGAAGGATGGAGTGGGGGGAAGGAGGGTAGTCAATAGCTTTGCAGCTGCATGGATTGAGGTTAGACTGAAAGCAGCAGCTTTGCCAGATGGGGATGGAGTGGCGTGCCTATGGAATGAGATTCAGGAGGTGTGGAAATGGAAGTGGGACTGAGATACAGTTGCCACCCCAGAAATTCCAGAGGTTAATGAAATCTTTTTCTTACACATAGCCCTAAACCCCTGTGACCTGCCAAAATCTCTTCCCCAGCTAATAGTCTTCTCTCCTGATAGATTGTCACAAAGTCCCACCCCTTCCACCCACCCCTCCCCTCCCTCCAGCCCTTCCGATTTCAATCTCAGACACCCTGGTTCTGTGAGAGTGAGATACGCCAACCCCATCATGGGGCTAGAAACTGCTCCTAGATGAGGCTGGGCGCCACCCGTGAGGAGCCATTGGGGGTGAATTCCTGATTTCCTGGAAGCCCAGCCTGTGTTTCCCCCTCTGATCGCCCACGTCCCTCTCCTGGTGTAAGATACTCAGGGGAACTGAATTAAATCACAAATCAGGATTATCGGGTTTAGGCAAGCTGATCCCTGGGGAATTAATCCCCCACCAAATATCGAGAGAGAGAGAGAGAGAGAGAGAGGGGATCCCCCAAATCCCCAGCTCAGCAGGTGACTGCAGAGCCATCCCTGGAAGGCCCCTGCCTCCACGCCGGTTGGCCCAGGCCGCTTCCGGAGAATCTCCCTGGTGGGTGGGAGTTGTGCTCCGTCCTGCAAACCCAGCATCCATCTGTCTGTGACACTGAGAATGTGGTTCCTTCACCTCCCCCGGGGACAGCACGCCTCAGCAGCACAGAGGTCCTCAAAATAAAATGTCACCTCCAGGATTTTCTCTTTGTGGTCTGTTGAGCAGATGCATGGAATGGGCTGTTCACAGGCCTCCACTGGCCCATTAAGGAGAAAGCAGAGCCGGTGCTGCTCCCTGCCCCTTACCTGTGCCCTGCCCACCCTCCTGGGCCACGTGACTGTGAAGCCTTCACCTCTCACCGTCCTTGCCCTGCCCACCCTCCTCCTTTCCTTCCTCCTGTCCTTCACTTGGACAGCAGTGTCGTCAGTGCTTGCTGTGTGCAGGCTGCCCGTCCAGGCAGGTGGCTAGAGCCGTCGATAAACCAGACACATCGCCACCCCCCGGAGCTCGCCTCATGAGGGAGGAAATGGCCATGCAAAGGAGCTGTGTCCCTTCCCAGAGGGACATTATTTTCTTTGGGGACCTTGGGGCATTCGCTGAGCATAAGGGACATGTCTGAGGGAAGAGTGTTGAAGACACAGCGTGTGGCACAGGCAAAGGCCCGAGGTGGGAACACACTGGAGTGTTGAGGAGCAGCAGGGAGACGAGGGTGACCGCAGGGGTGGGCAGGAAGGGGTCGGAGTGTCAGGGTTAAGTCATGCAAGGGTGGCCCTGGAGACGGCTGTGAGGATCTGGAGTGACAGGACCCTGCTCACCTCCTTCCTCAGCTCCTCCGTCTTCCATTGATATATCCACTCACCTCTCGCCTGTTCTAGACAGGTTTGCTGAGTCCCTCTGTGTCCCACAATGTCCCTGGTGATAGGATCGGAACAATGACAGGGCTTTGACCCCAGGGGCTAGAGGTGTGCAGTGCAACAGGGGCTTCTGCCATGATGGACATGCTCCAGACCTGCCCCGTCTGTCATGGTGGCCACTAGCCACGTGTGGACACTGAGGATTAAGTGTGGGGCATGAGGCTGAAGAACTGAGTTTCATTTCAGATTTATTTTATCAAGTAAATGCAATTTCATTAATAAATAATTAACCTTATTACTTAATTTTAATCTAAATAGCCCCCTGTGGCTAGTGGCTAGTCACTGGAAGCTCAGATTCACGCACTTAGCCTGCATTATTCTTAGGTCCTGGAAAGACCCGAGGACAAGCGCTTTGCTTTCTTGGGGAGTGACATTCCAGTTTGTGGGGAAAAGAAAAAATTAAATCACTTAAGAGAAGCTCGTGCCTGGATGCACCCTTCCAGGAAGATGGGGGGTCAGATATAAGGAGCGTTTGGGGAAGGGAGAGTGGCTCAGCACGGCCAGAAGGGCACGTCTTGGAGACGAGGTGTTTCTAGATGGTTTCTGGGGCTCTCTCCCTGACTGGGGGTGGGTCAGCTGAAGCTCCCTTAGGGGTCTCCTGGGGATCAGTACTGGGAAGGGAAGGGCAGGCGCTCGGGGTGGACAGAGGAGCAGTTGAGCTTCCGTGCAGGTCCTCAGCTGGGGGAGCCACGGGAGCTCTGGACACAGCTCTGCCACGTCTTTCCACCTGGCCTCGGCCACGCTATGGACTGCCCAGGGAAAGGCCTGTCCCTAGATGCAGGGGTCACTTAGAAGCTGAGGACAGCTGACTTGGACTGACATCAAGACTGCACTCCCCAGGGCTGGGCGGAGGTCCTCTCTTAAGAGGGACATGGCCCGCCCACCTCCTTCCCCATCACAGAGAGGTTGAAACCAGGACAGGACGCAGCAGGGCGGGGGCTGCAGAAAACCAGGGCAGAGCAGTCCAGCACATGCAAGGTCCAGAGGCCGGGTGAGCTTGGTGTGTCCAGGAACAGAGGCAGGAAGGAGGGAGGGAAGGACGTAAGGAAGGGCCGTGTGGAACCAGGAATAGGAGAATAGCGCTTACTCAGGTATTCCTGTGTGCGTCGGTGAAGACTTGCTCTCTGCTTGCTCTTGAGAGAAACAGATCTACCCTTCAGTCTGCAGGCTTCTTGTCTGTCTGTGCAAACCACTGTTATCTGAAATCAAATCCGCAGAAAAGGGACTGAACAGCAAAAATCTATCTCTGAAGCCCAGGTACAGTGGGGGGTAGTGGCAGCAGTTGCTCAGGGTACTCTATTTAGAAGGCGGGGAAGAAAGAAGGAGAGGGAGGAGAAAGAGAAGAACAAATATATCCATTTGCATCTGGGCCTAGAGGGATTTATCCAGATTCTGCAATCTATTTTTTTATTTATTTTTTAGTTATAGTTGGATATATGTTTATTTTATTTATTTATATGTGGTGCTAAGGAGCCAACCCAGGGCCTCACACATGCTAGGCAAGCGCTCTACCGCTGATCCACAGCCCCAGCCGTGCAATCAATTATTGATGTCTGCCATGGGCATGGGGAAGGAATAGTAGAGGCATCTGCAATGAAATTCCTTCCCTTTGAGACTGAGTCATAGTCTGGTAGGGAGGGGGAGCACGGGAGGAATAGAGGAACAGGCAGAGGGGTGGGAGGGGAAACAAGGGGGTAGGGGGTTAGAAATGATGGTGGAATGTGGTGAACATCATTATCCAAAGCACATGTATGAAAACACAAATTGGTGTGAATATACTTTATATTCAAGCAGAGATATGAAAAAATGTGCTCTATCTGTGTGATATGAATGGTAATGCATTCTGCTGTCATGTATATATATATATCAATAAGAAAAATAATTCCTTCCCTTGGTTTACTAGTTTATTTATTAATTATTTAATAAGTGCCTGCAAATGCTCTGCCTAAATCTGTGATTTCTCAGAAAGGGGGAGAAGGCCCCAGGTACTTTTAAGGGTCCCTGGACAGAGGATCTGATTCCCCACCAGTGAGATTCACCAACCTTGCCATCAACTTTTCCTTCCATCAAATTCTCTCATTGAGAAATCAGGAAAGAGAGTCCCCAGGAAGATTCAGGCCCCCTGGTGGGTGGGCTAGGCCACATTTTTCCTCTGTTCTTCATGAAGAG